AAACACAAGCGATAGAAAAATATTTTACTGCAACGAGGAAATGTAAATTCACAACTGAACTTAGCTTTGAAGAAAAATCTTTTCGAAAATACTACAAATGGCGCAGTAAACGCCATCTGTAGCACGATGCCACAATTTAGGATTACGTATGCTCCAACAAGGTCCACTTGTGTGGATATCTACTTGCTGAAAACGAATCCCGGCGTAGCCAACCTCAACGTGATAGGCACGTTAGCTTAATCGAATAAAATAATTCGAAGTGGTCTGTATTCTGTCGAAACTGCCAGACGCGGATCGCGATTTCGATCTTTTTGGATCTCATCAGCGCGTCGCAGGCAGCTCCGACAGAACACAGACCAACTTTTACCTGCTGTCTTAACAGTGCGTTTTAGAAAATACTACAAATGGCGCAGTAAACGCCATCTGTAGCACGATGCTACATTTTAGGATTACGTATGCTCCAACAAGGTCCACTTGTGTGGATATCTACTTGCTGAAAACGAATCCCGGCGTAGCCAACCTCAACGTGATAGGCACGTTAGCTTAATCGAATAAAATAATTCGAAGTGGTCTGTATTCTGTCGAAACTGCCAGACGCGGATCGCGATTTCGATCTTTTTGGATCTCATCAGCGCGTCGCAGGCAGCTCCGACAGAACACAGACCAACTTTTACCTGCTGTCTTAACAGTGCGTTTTAGAAAATACTACAAATGGCGCAGTAAACGCCATCTGTAGCACGATGCTACATTTTAGGATTACGTATTTTACATTTTAAGATTACGTATTTTTCGGAGCTGCCTGCGACGCGCTGATGAGATCCAAAAAGATCGAAATCGCGATCCGCGTCTGGCAGTTTCGACAAAATACAGACCACTTCGAATTATTTTATAAAAATCTTTTCGTTAAAATAAAAAAATTACATAAATTTCTCAACGCAAAATTAAATTTTGTGATTAATCGATTCCTAAGATCAATTTTAGATAACAAAATCAAAACAATTTCTGCATGGTCACATGCTTTGGCATTCGGAGTAACATTTCCCTACAGCTTTTTTTGATTGGACCCGTATTCGCTTTTTGTTTTTTACTTCTTCCCACTTTGTGAAAGTAGCCCAGTGGAGGGTGAGTCCACGACAGTACAGGAAAAAGATATGTACGTAATATACGTACAAACTTTTTGGGATAATGTTTGATAGCATTTTTCACTTATTTCGACGCTTCTAAACGAAAAATCGAGATGCTACTTTGTAGATTGGCACTTTTACTTTCAAAATCTGTTTACAAAATTAAAATCGCACGAGAGAATATGGGAACTCGCTGAAAGAGGAAGGCACGAAAACCTTCAAATTGCTATTGTCGAAAAACTAATAATTAAATTCGACAGCAATAAATGGTTTTCGTACATAATATAAGATAAATATAAATTAAGTTGTAATGTAACTAATCCAATTACAACAGAGATATGAATTAAAAAAGAAAAAGATGAATTTTCCAGTTTTTCTCGATTTCCTCCGTTATTATCGATCCGAGCGAGTCAATCATGACCTCAAATTGTAGGTAGGTGTGTTTATTCCTATAATATAACATATATAATGTCAAAGAGACTGCTCCTTTAATTTACATTTTAATTTAACAAAAAAAAACAATGCAACAATGGTTGGGAGTTGGAAATAGGTCAAAATAATACATGGTTTTCTGTTAAGATTTCTTACAAAATCGATGTTTTTCTTCTCCGTTAACTGGACTATTCAACGACATATACCCATATATGGCATGAATTCTTTCTTTCGTACTACCTTATATTGCAATGAGAAAATAAACCGAATTGTACACCGTAATTGACTGCCCACTGCCTTTAAAACGACGTACAATTCTTGGAAATTTTCTATATTACAAGTTAGTTCAATATACAGTTGTGCTTTTTGGATTGATCCGTGCAGATACAGATGAACTATTGTAGTTATTGACACTGATGATCTAAACACAATATCTGTTTTATTTTACAGTAATTGCTAGACGCAATTCTGCTCTTTAAAAGTTACACATTCGCAATAGTGGTGATTCTATTAAAAATTTTGTAAAGATACATATTTGTAGTAAGGATTTAAGGATTTATTTACCGTTTGGATAAAAACGCCACACAATTGCTAAAAATAAGCCAAACTTGACTTTAAGAAGAAACATAAATCTATCGCAAACTTTCAAACTTTAATTCCCAAAATGAATATGTTTGCTATTGAATTGGAGCTTTCGTTTATGCATGAAAATATTCACAAAATTACATAATTTTTTCTTGCACAACACGATTTAAACTCGTTTGTATCTTTATACTGGTCATTTTAGTTGTAAAATACTGACTGAAAGTTGAATTATACACTGAACAAAAAATGGGTTTTAATTCTGATTTATTTATACAGTTAGTTTCGGGGTTTCGAAACGAAATGTACTACTTCATGGGTGATTAATATTTTGTGTAATAATTATTTGTTTGGTTGTATCTACTGATCTTGCAATTTATGCTCGTTTCGTACCATAACACTAACCTTGTGATTATAACCTAACCATATTTTAACCAAGGAATGTCTTTATTTGTAAATTTATCATTCGATTAAACAGCATGCTAATATAACACAGGGTGGAAAATCAGAATTCATTAGGTGCAGTTTATCTTCAGGGTAAGAAACGAGAATAAGATTGGCGAAAAAAGCCATATTTAATTAAGGTGTGAATCGAGAAGGTACGAAGAGAGATTTGATGACAACATATTCGAAAAATGTATTCTAACAAATATTTAAAAGCTTAAAGGTTCCCCTGACAATTGCTTCGCAAAACTTTGGGAACATTTACTAATAAGGTTTGTAATATAATAAAATTTTTCTCTTTTACGTTTTCTGAATACTTATTTATTTGTTTGACGTACGTTTGAATGATGTTTGTTTCTCTACGTTTCCTTCTGGTCTTAATCAATTGAATGACTACGTTGGCTGGCGCGTAATTTTGTTAAATGTTTACGTACATTTGCGAACGAGAAATAAATGGGGAATCGCTAGTCCTCTTAACGCATCGCGTCGCGCACTGTTTCCATATCGTTGTCGTAAGAAATCGTTGGAATGCAAATGAAGTAGTGGCAACAGCTTAGTAAAAAAGCTATCTCATCAGTTCCGGGTTTATGTCTTAAGTAAACGTTGTCTATTAAAGTCGGGAAGTTGACGTTGATGTGTATTGTCATCCGGAAGCAGGGAAAGTTGTTCCTACCCTTTCGTTACAGTTCTCGTTTAATAATAGTTTTCAGTTTGCAGCACGTGTTTTTCTGAGCATTGTTTTCATGCTCTTGATAACTGAGGTCTGGACCTTTTCTCACGGAATGGTTTACTAACTACCTTCGAGGTTATTCATGAATAATGATTCTAACTAAAATAAAGATTGAATCGTTATTCTTACTAACTAAACTGAGTCAAATTTCATTACTGTAAGTTTTGACTATCTGGTATCATAAAATTTATGGGAAATATATAATATATGCCTCTTAACACAGGTATTTTCAATTTTGTTACGATTACCGTAGGCATAATTGATACTTGCATTTTATAATGATCACTCAATTTTTATTTAATTAACTGAATTATTATTTTCTTTTAACTGAAAGTTAAAAATATTCTTTAATAAAATAAACATCCAAAAACAACGACTGCAGAGATTTTGGTGATCTTTTCTTAAACTGAACAGGTTACACGTCGAAAGCGATAATCGGAACTGTTAATTAGGGTAGATTACGGTTTGAGTTGATTCGTCTTATTACGACAGCGTGTCTAGTATATGTACTTTTAAATTATTGCAATTACTTACAATTCTATAACTTTTGAAGGAGCCACAAAGTGACGAAACAATTGTCAAGTTAACGAATGGTATGGAAATCGAAAGCAGAGTCAAATACAATTGATGAGTTGATACAAAGTGTTCAAAAAGCATTTGATGATTATCAATATATCAAATAGAACAATATCATTTTTACGTTGGAAGTTGTATGGGTTGTGTTGTACATGAAAATGGGGTGAATAACTGTAATACCTCCCTTGACAAGAATCCAAATTCTCAATATTCTTATAATGAGAATATTCCGTCAAAATGACTAATCTTAATGTCCCTCAGTTCCTAATAGTGATCTTCAGTCTCGAATAACACTGTTAAAAATTAAAATAGGACTCTTACTTTCAGACATGTTTTTGTGTAAAATGGGACCCTCAAGTACGTATATAATTAAGTTGACTTGACAATGGTTTACTCTGTAATCTACGAAAAATTAGTATTATGAAAATTAATAACTATAACTGAAGGAGGTTGACACTAGAGATGCACCGGATTGTGAATTTCCCAGGTACCGGATAACCGTGTACCGGAAAAACCACGTTTAACGGTTCATGTCTTCGTTCTGGCGGGCTTTCTATTAAATATCACCCTCAACAACATCCCACGCCACATCAAGTCCCGTTAAACAAGTTGTTTAAACAATCAACCAATGAAATTTTAATTCTTGGTTGACGGATTTTAAACGAGAGGGTTAAATTGAAACTGTTGCAACGAGCTTTTATTTTTTTTTTAAAGTCTGCAAGGAGACAAAATCATACTAAACCGGATCCAAACCGGGTAACAGACCTATCCATCTCTAGTTGGCACTATAGGTAACGGGCAGGTGGTGCTGGGGAAGCGCCCGTTTTCACTATGCGTGAAAATATTCCATTTATTTGTAAGTAATAATGTCTGTGAATGTCGAAGCTGTCCGTCAAATAAATAAATTTTGCAGAGCATATAAAGACAAACAAAATGATGACCTGGTGGTCATTAATTTGTAGAAATTATCAGACATACTTAGGATATAGGTACAATTTTAAAAGATTTTAATGACTATTTTTACATAAGCTGTACATTTAAAGGTTATTTTTGAATTTGGATGTGAAAAAGTCAACACAATGTAAAACCTTCGAAATTATTTGTTTATTTACCTGAGCATGAGATAAACAAATGCATTCAGGTGGGCACTGGTGGACGATTGTGTTCAGAGTCGCAACCTGAATAATCATCAGTGACGCACAGCTGCGCCAAACTGAGCCTCCGACCATCTGAAAACAGATAATGATTCCTGTTAGCTAAAACTTTAATAGAAATGAAGTCGATAGATCACTCAAAATAAATTAATTGCTTTTCAGATGAGGTTAAATTCAAATTGAAATTTTAATTTCAAGTCTGCAATATTTGTTGCATTTTTACAGTTACAGTCTTCTTTACAGTTCTAAGGTTTAGAGGATCCCAACATTTATGTACGAGGGTGGATTGATAAGTTTCCGGCCTGACCAAGAAAAACAAGGTTTTTAAAAATTTTTTTTTTTTATTTCTCAACATAATCTCCTCCAAGGCTGATACATTTCTCATAGCGGTGTTCCAGTCTATTAATGCCATCTCTATAGACTGATTCGTCAAGCTCCTCAAAATAACCATTTACAGCTTCGATTACTTCTTCATTGTCCGCAAATCTCTTACCGCCAAGCCATTTTTTGAGATTAGGGAACAGAAAATAGTCACTCGGGGCTAGGTCTGGAGAGTAAGGAGGGTGCGGCATCAATTCAAACTTTAGATCGTTGATTTTAGCCGTCGCAACGATTGACGTGTGCGCTGGTGCGTTATCGTGATGAAACAAGATTTTTTTCTTCGCCAGATGAGGTCGTTTAATTTTCACCTCGTGGCTCAAACGTTGCAATAAGTCTGCGTAGTATTGACCAGTGATAGTATTACCCTTTGCAAGGTAATCAATGTATATAATACCTCTTGCATCCCAAAAAACAGTAGCCATAACCTTGTTCGCCGAAAAAATTGTTTTTGCCTTCTTTGGAGTTGGTTCCCCTGGTCCAATCCACTGTTTAGACTGTTCTTTGGTTTCAGGAGTGTAGTGGTGGACCCACGTTTCGTCAACGGTTACGAATCGACGCAAAAATTCGCTTGGATTACGCTTATACAATGACAAATTTGCGGTAGAAATGTTTTTTCGAATCAATTTTTGGTCGACTGTTAGCAAACGCGGCACCCATCTTGCACAGAGCTTTTCCATATGCAAATGTTGGTGCAAAATATGTTGCACACGTTCATATGACATCTTACAGGTCTCAGCTATCTCACGCACTTTCAATCTGCGGTCTCCCAGCACTATTTGATGAATTTTTTCGATCATATCTGGAGTTGTGACCTCAACGGGGCGTCCTGAGCGAGGCCCATCAGAGGTGCTCACACGACCCTTTTTAAACTCGGAAACCCACTGCTTAACGGTTGAATATGACGGGGAGGATGTCCCCAGTGTTGAGTCCATCTCTTTTTTAATTTCCTTCGGCGTTAACCCCTTCAAATAAAAGTATTTGATGACAGCACGATTTTCCTGCTTTTCCATTTTTACGAAAACCACAGAGGCGTCTTGTTCAGCGTGCTGTCAAACCTACACTAGCAAGGAGATCGGGCTGAAACTATAGCTACAAGCTATCCAAGGATGGTACTATAGAATGTCACCTCAAGGTAGGCCTAGTGGCGTCATCTCTTGGTTAGGCCGGAAACTTATCAATCCACCCTCGTATTTAAGCTGTAACAGCCAAAACTTAGTTTAGTACAGTTGTACTCTTGAGAAAGGTCTCATACGATGTTGAAGCTTTTGTTTCTTTATGTTATTCAGAGATTGGATTTATTTGAAATACAAATACAAATACAAAATAAAGAATACCTATTTTTATCTTGCATTTGAATACTTTTCTGAAAAAAGCAACGTATTTTCTATTTGTAAAATGCAAAATATATTTTTGCCTTAAAATTTTTGCTAGTATCACCGATCAAACATTTTATAAAGTGATGAATGAAAGTTCATTCAAATTGGCTATTGAAGGTATCAGAAGCTTAAAAAGGGGACAAAGAGACATTCCATGAATGCCTTCTAATTCTTTAACTGAAGAATGCTCAAAACATTCTAAACTCCTTGGAAATGGATAATCTGAAATATTGGATCAATATTGTTTTCCGGGTTCAATGTTCATGTCAATTTTGAAGTTTCAAATTGATATCAGCACCTGCCAAATCACCACTTATCGTTCCTTTAACAAGGAACTACGAAATTCTATGAATTATGACAAAACAGCCCTCAAAACAATATCGAATTGATATATGGCAGGTGTGTAAAACTGAAAATTACAACATATTGCGGTGCTAATAAATGCATATAATTCAAAATTCTTAGAAAACGATTCGAAAAGCTTCACTTAAATGAATGAATTTCTTTCTCTTATTAGAATATGTAATCGGAAACAAAAAGGGGTTGCAAATATTTTGATACAAAATGATTGATGATGAATATTTTGGCTCTGGTCTTTCACGTTAAGCAAACTGTTTTGACAACAGTGTCTTTTTTCCAATTAAAACGGTGACAAAGGCAAGTAAGATTAGCATATAGAAGAAATGTTTGCTGCTAAACTGAAGAAACTATAACATTAATATAGAAAACCTATATCTCAATCATTTGTAACAGAAAAATATGAATCATACTTAATCTTCGCAGCTGATGATATAGTGCAAACACCACTATTATTAGTCTAGAAAAACTCCAATATTTAAAAAATGAGCAAATGCAAATGCAAACGTTTTCTTAAAATACTACAAAAAAGTATTTAATTGAAAAATGTATTTTGAAAGTACGTATTTTGCATGTAGCATTTAACATGCAAAAGGGAAATATATTTTGTACTTTACGTTTGAAATAACAAATCAAAAATATTTGCAATTTGTCTTTAAATACTTTTAATTGCATATTTGCAGTTAGACTTATATTTTGGCATCAACTATGCACCTCCGAAAGCTTAAATCTTATTTATTTTTAATGTGCTGTTGTGCTACATTCCAATTTTACACTGATTCTAATGTAGGGTTGATTAAACTTGCACGAGTACAAATATGAACTTCCACTAAAATCATTGATAGCTTTCATCTGTGTAAAGTAGAGCTGTAGATTAGCAAAGGTCGGTCATAATTAGTGTGATATGCAGTGAGTTACGACGGGTAGAGTGCGCTAAATGTGCGATACAAATGGTTTGAGATAAATTTTGCATGGAATGTGGAACTGTGACCGTATGGAACAACCGGTACCTAATACCGATGTTAAAAAAATGTCCTGTTAGATAGGGCAAAATTGGTTTCCGCCGTCGCTATTTGGGCTTTTAGTAGCAAAATGTAATTTGCGTCAATCACTTTATTTGCCCTCGTTTCTATTTATTCTCTAATTGCTTTTGGTAGGTAATCAACCTTTACAAACACGAGAGCCCTTGAAAAGTTGAAGTTTGTAGTTTCGTTAGCGTTTTTCGGACGACTATCTGGCTAGTAACTTTTTAATCAGACGTGCAGAGAAGAAACAAGATCCAGCAGGTTGTTTATTTAAAAATAAAAAAGGATCTAGTTTATGAAACGAAATGTTTATTTTTACAATTTGCGCTATGAACTAGCATCCTGCTATTTCATTATCTATTCCTAATACTCGGCATTATTTTGTTCTTCGTAGAAAATATTCATTAACTCGAGCCTCCTAAATGCACCCATTCATGTTTGAGTTAATGTCGAATTTCGGAATTCGAATATACTAATTTACTTCTTTTAAATAGTGGTTTGAATCAGTTTGAAACAGCTGTTTGTGTTTTTTCAAGATTTTCAGTTTAAATTCGAAATAAGAAAGGATTTTTTCACCCTATAAATCATAGATTACCGTCTCTAAAAGTTTCTTTTTAACAACAAATGTTTATAACAATAAGGATATTTTGACTTTTGATTGTAATTTTCTGAAATCCTAAAAGCATTAAAATTAAAATTAAAACTCATTACGTAACTGAACGCTCTGTATATTGGAAAATTATCACAGCAGATGATACAATGATCTAATAGTACCACGCCGTTAGTTCGAGTCAAGCGGTTGGTGTAAGGGTTGTATATCAAAAGGGCAGAGAGGGACAGAATGAATGATGGAGTTCTGGATCCATTAGTTTCATTCGGGTCACTGGTCGGAGCTACTCTTGGGACTGTTGCAATTTATAGAACTGGGATACGTGGCACCTTTCCGAAGTATTTCAATTAAAATGTACTACGTGGTCGTGGCTGTCCAGCTATGAGACCGCCATCAGCGATGGACCTATACGATAAACGTATGAATATTTAACTGACACCGTTAGGCCTTCAGCTTTTATCTTTTCCACCTGTACGCCCTCCTGTCGATAATGGAAATTCGTACCACAGAAACGACTTATCGCCACATACGATAGAAAATAGTGCAAAGCTACGCTTCATTTGGTTACCCATCAATGTCACAATATGATATGATTTGTTTTATTCGATTTTTCATCTTTACTTCCTGCGTCTCCATCAAAAAATTTATTGATTCCTACTACTCATATTGTAAGTACATTATAGTCATTCATGTAAATTCAAAATAATGCTCCGCGTTCGTACTAGAATTATCGAAATCAATAACCATACAAGTTAGTTTTGATAATTACGTCAGTTTTGGATCTGAGGTTCGGATACCTCAAAATTCTAACGTACTGGAGCATTTCTGAAGTCAAATTCGGAGTCGATGTCGCAAACTACGTTGGACATCTCTAGTCTTCCTTTGATGTTTCGTTCCCACCAGCCACTAGTGCTGGTGGGCGGGCAGTCCGTCTGGACTACACCGGAAGGTAGGACGGAAGACCTTCTTCAGCCTGCTTTCAGGAATCGTGGGAATGGGTGGGTGGTGGACCCGGAATCGATCCGGCGTCCTCCCGAACGCTAAGCAATGGTCTCAACCTCTAGACCATGCCGCTCGGTAAGGGGAATATGAATAAGTATGATATTTTATATCAATTTCGTTTAGATAAACCACAAATATGCTTCTAAATAATTTTGCCTACCATTTAGAAAAGGTACCTATATACCTAATTAGCTCCTGTTTTGAGATTTTTTTATGTCTATTAAGGTACGTCTAGATGACTTTGTATTTTATTTTAATCTTTAAAGATAAAACGAAACCGCTTTAAAATATGCAACTAAATTACTTCCCTTTGTTAGACTGTAT